CCCACCACAGGAGCTCACCAGGTGCTCCCTGAAGCCCTCGTCCTAATGCCAATCGCCGAGGCCTGAGGAACTTCTGCAGAATCCTTTCATTCATCTGCGACATCGTAAGAGCTGCGCCCTAACTTTATTTTATAGATGTACTATCTGGGTATTTTTATATGATGCAAAGTGTCTTTTAGGATGAGCCAGATTATGTGGGGGAAGTTTACCGACAGCGAACAACTGCTTTCCCAAGGAACTAACTGAAGTTAACAGGGCTCACGTGTGTGTACACCACTCCGTTCCCTTCCCCTCCCCCTCTCCTCTCAGATACAGTGTAACATCTGAGAGGAGATGTTACAAAAGCTGGGGAAGTGTGGTGCACTAGAAAGACAGCTACACCTGGAGTCACGTATTTATCAGCCACTCCATATGGTGGCACTCGAATGCTTAGAAACTCATTCAGTACTCAAGGCTTTTGGATGAGAAAATGTGGTCCCATATGTCATTTGTTCAACACTCAAGGTGCAAGCTAGAACTTACTGGTGTCCACTTCCTTGTGACTATCCTTTCTAGCCTGAACTATTTGCTTTGTCATTTTTGGTGCTCTTCCAATACTTTCCCAGGACCAATTATGGTAAGGATGGTGGCCTCTACTGTATTTCCAAATGTTTGCCTGTACTGGGCACATTTCATCAAATTACAGAGCGCTGGCTGGGTGTGGTGGTGCATGCCTGTAATCCCAGCACTGGGGAGGCTGAGGTAGGAAGATCTTTGCGAGCTCAAGGCCAGCCTGAACTGCATAGAGAGACCTTGCTTGTCTCAAAACAAACAAACCCAATCACAAGAACAAAAATTACAAAGTGCTTAGAAATAAACCAAGCGTAATCACTGTAAAATGTCTGTAACAAATGTTGCACACAGTATTGTTTACAGTCTCTTCTTTCCATACTAGACTTAATCTGAAAAATATTACCCTTACACACTGTCCATATACACAACCCCACAAAACTACGCTCAATGGCAATCCATAGATGCTGGACCAGGTAGGCCATAAGGAATATAATAATCACAAGTATCTCTTTCTGTCTAGCAACAAGAATGACTTTGGCAGAAAAGACCACTTTCCAAGATAATAGTATCCAAACATCTCAATCATGTGAGTCAACTAGTACCCAGTATAATCTGGGCCCTGTGGTGCACACCTGTAACCCCAGTGTTCTGGGAGACTGAGAC